TCAATCTTTCGTTACATAAATTGTTAAAATTGATCACCCAATTAAACTGAAAGTGCAAAACTTTTGAACTTGAATCCATAGAAAACGTCAACTCAAACACTAGTGTGAAGTTTCGGAATTTCCGCTTTAAAATTAAATTAAATTCCAATTCGAAACTACTCTTTTCTGGTCTGATTTCAACTCTTTTTATTTTTATAAACCCTGGCTATAAATTTCCAAAAACAAAGTGACGTAGTTTAGAACTGAATTCAATACAATAAATTCCTCTACAAACTGTCTATAGGAAATAAATGGCCCCTCGTGCTATACAGCTTATTTTGTCATTTAATTTAGAGATCCATTTTATCAGTGCGGCAAACTGAATTTTAGCTTGAAAGTCAATTTCAAACTCACTTAGTTCATCGCGATTGTGCCTATTAATGGAGGATTAAATTATTTTTTGTTTCAAACAAAACTGTGCCTCTGTGCCAGATCGGGGAAAAGTTTGCATTGCAGTGATATAAATTTTTAAAATGTTCCGTTTTAGCGGATTCCAGCCTTTTATTTTATCTGGCAATGTGAATTTCGAGAATCTAATAGCAGAGAGAGAGGTTTGAAGGTGAAAACTTTAAAAATGTGCCAGTAAATACATTGCTTCACATTTTAATGCTTTCCTGAAAAACTGTCTAGAGGGATTTTTTGAAATTTTCAGAGCAGAAAGAGCAAGATCAGGTGCTCATCATACTGAAATTTCAAAATGATTTGATGAAGATCAACAACATGAAAAAATCTTAATCACCAATTTTGATAATGAGCCACAATTTGATCAGAAACACTCCTTCACATTTTAATGCTTTCCTGAAAAATTGTCCAAAGGAATTTTTTGAAATTTTTGGAGCAGAAAGAGCAAGATTAGGTGCTCATCATACTGAAATTTAAAAATGATTTAATGAAGATCAACAACATGAAAAAATCTTAATCGCCAACTTTGATAATAAGCCACAATTTGATCAGAAAAACTCCTTCACATTTTAATGCTTTCCTGAAAAACTACCCGAAGGAATTTTTTGAAATTTTTGGAGCAGAAACAGAAAGAGCAAGATCAGGTGCTTATTATACTGAAATTTCACAATGATTCAATGAAAATCAATAACCTGAATGAATCTTGAACACCAACTTTGATAATGAGCCACACATTTGATCAGAAGCACTCCCTAACATTTAAATGCTTTCCTGAGAAACTCTCCAGGGGGTTTTTTTTTAATTTTTGGAGCAAAAAGAGTAAGATCAGGTGCTCATTATACTAAAATTTTACAATGTTTCAATGAAAATCAATAATATGAAAAATCTTGAACACCAACTTTAAAAATGAGCCACACATTTGATCAAAAGCTGCCCCTAACATTTTGATACTTTCCGGAAAAATGTTTGGAGGGATTTTTTGAAAATTTTGGAGCAGAAAGAGTAAGATCAGGTGCTTATTATGCGGAAATTTCACAATATGATTTAATGAAAATCAATAACATGAATACCAACTTTGAAAATGAACCACTCCTTTGATAAGAAACACTCTCTCACATCTGAAAAACTGTTCAGAGTGATTTTTTGAAATTTCTGGAGCAGAAAGAGGAAGATTAGATGTTCATCATACTGAAATTTCACACTGATTCAATAAAAATCAATAATATGAAAAAATCTTGAACACCAACTTTGAAAATGAGCCACACATTTCATCAGCAGCACTCCCAAACATTTTAATGCTTTACTGAAAAACTGTCCAGGGGGTTTTTTGAAATTTTTGGAGCAGAAAGAGTAAGATTAGGTGCTCATCATGCTAAAATTTCACAATGATTCAATGAAAATCAACGTTATGAAAAAATCTTGAACACCAACTTTAAAAATGAGCCACACATTTGATCAAAAGCACCCCCTAAAGTTTTAATACTTTCCGGAAAAATGTTTAGACGGATTTTTTGAAATTTCTGAAGCAGAAAGAGGAAGATCAGATGTTCATCATACTGAAATTTCTTCACACTAATTCAATGAAAATCAATAATATGAAAAAATCTTGAACACCAACTTTGAAAATGAGCCATACATTTCATCAGAAGCACCCCCAAACATTTTAATGTTTTACTGAAAAACTATCTATAGGGTTTTTTTGAAATTTTCGGAGCAGAGCGAGTAAGATTAGGTGCTCATTATGCTAAAATTTCACAATGATTCAATGAAAACCAAGGTTATGAAAAAATCTTGAACACCAACTTTAAAAAAGAGCCACACATTGGATCAAAAGCTCCCCCTAACATTTTAATACATTCGGAAAAATGTTGAGACGGATTTTTTGAAAGCAGAAAGAGTAAGATCAGGTGCTTATTATGCTGAAATTTCACAACATGATTCAATAAAAATCAATACCATGAACACCAACTTGGAAAATGAACCATTCCTTTGATAAGAAACACTCTCTTACATTATAATGCATGTCTGAAAAACTGTTCAGAGTGATTTTTCGAAATTTCTGGAGCAGGAAGAGGAAGATCAGATGTTCATCATACTGAAATTTCACACTGATTCAATGAAAATCAATAATATGAAAAAATCTTGAATACCAACTGAAAATGAGCCACGCATTTCATCAGAAGCACTCCCAAACATTTTAATGCTTTACTAAAAAACTGTTCAGGGGGGTTTTTTGAAATTTATGGAGTAGAAAGAGTAAGATTAGGTGCTCATTATGCTAAAATGTTACAATGTTTCAATGAAAATCAATGATATGAAAAATTTTGAACGTCAACTTTGAAAATGAGCCACACATTTGATCAAAAGCACTCTCTAACATTTCAATACTTTCCGGAAAAATGTTTAGACGGATTTTTTGAAAATTTTGGAACAGAAAGAGTAAGATCAGGTGCTTATTATGCTGAAATTTCACAATATGATTCAATGAAAATCAATAACATGAACACCAACTTTGAAAATGAACCACTATTTTGATAAGAAACACTCTCTCACATTATAATGCATGTCTGAAAAACTGTTCAGAGTGATTTTTTGAAATTTCTGGAGCAGAAAGAGGAAGATCAGATGTTCATTATACTGAAATTTCACACTGATTCAATGAAAATCAATAATATGAAAAAATCTTGAACACCAACTTTAAAAATGAGCCACACATTTGATCAAAAGCACCCCCTAACATTTTAATACTTTTCGGAAAAATGTTTAGACGGATTTTTTGAAAATTTTGAAGCAGAAAGAGTAAGATCAGGTGCTTATTATGCTGAAATTTCACAATGATTCTATGAAAATCAATAACATGAACACCAACTTTGAAAATAAACCACTCCTTTGATAAGAAAGACTCTTTCACATTATAATGCATCTCTGAAAAACAGTTCAGAGTGATTTTTTGAAATTTCTGGAGCAGGTAGAGGAAGATCAGATGTTCATCATACTGAAATTTCACACTGATTCAATGAAAATCAATAATATGAAAAAATCTTGAACACCAACTTTGAAAATGAGCCACACATTTGATCAGAAACACTCTCTTACATTTTAATACTTTCCTGAAAAACTGTTCAGAGAGATTTTTTGAAATTTTCGGAGCAGAAAGACTAAGATCAGGTGCTCATTTTCCTGAAATTTAACAATGACTCAATGAAAATCGATAACATGAACACTAACTTTGAAAATCAACCTCTCCTTTGATAAGAAACACTCTTTCACATTATAATGCATACCTGAAAAACTGTTCAGATTGATTTTTTGAAATTTCTGGAGCACAAAGAGTAAGATCAAATGCTAATTATACTGAAATTTTACAATTATTCAATTAAAATCAACATTATGAAAAAATCTTAAATACCAACTTTGAAAATGAGCTATGCGTTTCATCAGAAGCACTCCCAAACATTTTAATGTTTTCCTGAAAAACTGTCCAGGGGGGTTTTTTTGAAATTTTTGGAGCAAAAAGAGTAAGATCAGGTGCTCATTATGGAGAAATTTCACAATGATTGAATGAAAATAAATAACATGAACACCAACTTTAAAAATGAGCCACTCCTTTGATAAGAATAAGAAACACTCTCTCACATTATAATACATCCCTGAAAAACTGTTCAGAGTGATTTTTTAAAATTTCTGAAGCAGAAAGAGTAAAATCAGATGCTCACCATGCTAAAATTTCACATTGATTCAATGAAAATCAATAATATGAAAAAATCTTGAACACCAACTTTAAAAATGAGCCACATATTTGATCAGAAACGCTCTCTCACATTTTAATGCTTTCATGAAAAATTGTCCAGAAGGATTTTTTGAAATTTTTGAAGCAGAAAGAGTAAAATCAGGTCCTCATTATGCGGAAATTTTACACTGATTCCATGAAAATCAACAATATGAAAAAATCTTGAACACCAACTTTGAAAATGAGCCATACATTTCATCAGAAGTACTTCCAAACATTTTAATGCTTTCCTGAAAAACTGTCCAGGGGGATTTTTTGAAATTTTTGGGGCAGAAAGAGTAAGATCAGGTGCTCATTATGCTGAAATTTCACAATGATTCAATGAAAATCAATGACATGAACATCAACTTTGAAAATACGCCACACCTTTGATAAGAAACACTCTCTCGCATTCTAATGCTTACCTGAGAAACTGTTGAGAGTAATTTTTTGAAATTTTTGGAGCAGAAAGAGTAGGATCAGGTGCTTATTATGCTGAAATTTCACAATGATTCTTGCTCTCTTTAATTTTTTGAAATTGAAACTGTTCCTAACACGGAAAACATCCAAGAATATCCTATTCATAATCTGATGTCCAAAAGTATAGGTAAATTTATCACCTTTCCCTATCAAATAGCACTGAAGGGTGATACATTTAACCTCTACCTTTAGACATCGGATTGTGTATAGATAATACCTAGAATAAACAAAATATTACACACAAAAAAAATCAGAGAAGGCGAAAAATACCTAAAAATAAAACAAAACTCAACTTACAGCGTCACTGGAATCAGGTGCAGGTTCCAGCAGGATGCTTTTGATCACCGCCCAAAGGATGATGAAAAACAGGGGCGTCCCTAAAAAAAACAAACCGAACAACATAAATCCATTTTAAAGTTCACGCCAACTTCTCGCGAACAAAAACAAAAACTTTTTTAATTTCCAATGACATCTCTGAGCCCAATTGCTTTTTGCGCTTATACAACTTTTATAAAACTTATTTTCTCTCGAGTAAACATAAAGCATAATACAACCGCGATAGAAACTTTTGGCAAAGTTTTGCATTTTTTGAGAATTTATTTGTCAATTTATTGTTACGAAATTTTTCCATAGAGCTAATTCAAACTTTCTCAATTTCATGTAGATTAAAAGTAAATTGTGTTTCCACTTATAATAATTTACTAAAGTTCAATTACTTACCCCATCCAATAAGTGCGTATACTCTCAGCTTGAAACTTTCCCTCGTTAGAGTTCTCACAACAAGAATGTACAAATATAAACCTGCAAAAGTAAAAAACACAAATAAGAGAGCGAATGACTTGAATTGAATTTAATTAAGGCGAGACTTTGGATAACTTTGTTAAATTAAATTAATTTCGATATAGCGGCAAAACGCGCGGCGGTTTTGTGTTTTTTATTGAACCAAATTAACTCCCACGAACCCTCAAACAAATTGAATTTTGTTTGTCTTTCAAACCGAAATTAAACTACGTTGGAAAGCGCATCCATAAGTAAGAACCACAAATCTCTCTGTCCGATGGAAAATAAAACTTCACTTTTTCAAAATCCCTAAGGATCAGCGTCAGTTCATCACAAATTATGTCTTGTTTCCACTCTTTGTTTTAATATAAATTTAATTTATTTCCATTGTTTGGTTGATGATTTTTGAAGATTCTTTAAGCTTTTTTAAAAACAAAACAGTTTTCATGGAAAATCCTGAGACACGCTATGCAAGGCTCCATTAATTTTCGCTCCGGGCCATAAAAAGAAAAATGGAAAAAAGAGAGACTAATTAGTCGTCAAGAAACAACACGCTCGTACTTTAACATAAAATTGTTTTTAATTGGTACCATTAATAATTCCGCGGAAAATGAGCTGGGAGAAAAGGCCGATGGCTTGTTAGGAAATTGTTTTACCGCATCTAGATTTGATGAGGACTAATTAAAAAACACGAATTATATAATTCATAAAGGTTTTGATTTTGGATTCAAGATAGTAGAGAAAAACGAGTTTTTGACAAAATGTTGACTAAATTTCACTTTTGAAGTTGATTATCTTGAAAATTCCAGAAGGTACGAAAACCAATTCTATACAGGCTTATAGAGAATTCCATGCTCCTTCCAATGGTGTTTTATTGAAGGCAATTTGCTCAAATATAATCGAAATCATGAGCAATTATTCATGAGCGTGTCAAGATTTCGAAAAATTTCAAATATGAAATTTTCTTTTGGATTTTTTCCTCATCGAAATTTTCAAATGTAACTGATGTTGGAGTTATTGCTAACTAATTTAGACTCGCTCTATCGATTTCTATAGTCAAAATTAAGAAAAATTTAAAAATAGAAATTTTAAATTTGTTGCACTTTTTTCTAAGGATGGCCGCCTACCAAACCGTAAAATCTTGGTAAATGAAAGCAGTACAGGGATAAAATTTTGTTGGATTGTAGCTCTTAATGAGGGCTTCGAAACAGTATTTAGCTGAAATCGCTAGCGATTACGGTTTTTGAGCAAATCGAGCTTAAAGTTTTAGACAAAATGTCGACTAAATTTCAACTTTGAGGCTTAATATCTTCATAATTCAGAAAGATACAAAAACCAATTTTGCATAGGCTTATAGAGAATTTAATGCTCTTTCCAATTATGTATTATTATAGACAGTTTGTTCAAATATAATTGGAAGTATGAGCAATTATTGATGAGCATGTCAAGATTTCAAAAAATTTCCAGAGCCAAAAACGAGATTTTCTTTTGGATTTTTTTCCTGATCGAAATTATCGAATGCCACTGATGTTAGAATTGTTTCTGACTAATTTGGACTCGCTTTATCGATTTCTATAGTCAAAATTAGGAAAACTCCAAAAATAGAAATTTTCAATTTTTTGCAATTTTTTTCTAAGGATGGCCTCCTACCAAACCGTAAAATCTTGGTAAATGAGAGCAGTACTGAGATAAAATTTTGATGGATTGTAGCTCTTAATGAGGGCTTCGAAACAGTATTTAGCTGAAATCGCTAGCGATTACAGTTTTTGAGCAAATCGAGCTTAAAGTTTTAGACAAAATGTCGACTGAATTTCAACTTTGAGGCTTAATATCTTCATAATTCCGAAAGATACAAAAACCAATTTTACATAGGCTTATAGAGAATTTAATGCTCTTTCCAATTATATATTATTATAGACAGTTTGTTCAAATATAATTGGAAGTATGAGCAATTATTGATGAGCATGTCAAGATTTCAAAAAATTTCCAGAGCCAAAAACGAGATTTTCTTATGGATTTTTTTCCTGATCGAAATTATCAAATGCCACTGATGTTAGAGTTGTTTCTTACTAATTTGGACTCGCTCTATCGATTTCTATAGTCAAAATTAGGAAAAAACCAAAAATAGAAATTTTCAATTTTTTCCAATTTTTTCTAAGGGTAGGAATCCTCTTTGGATTTTTATTTGCAAATATTTAAACCGTAATATGTTGGTAAATGAAAGTGGTACTGGGATAAAATTTTCAGGGATTGTAGCTCTTAATGAGGGCTTCAAAATAGTATTTAACGCAAATCGCTAGCCATTACAGTTTTTAAGCAAATCAAGCTTAAAGTTTTAGACAAAATGTCGACTGAATTTCAACTTTGAGGCTTAATATCTTCATAATTCCGAAAGATACAAAAACCAATTTTACATAGTCTTATAGAGAATTTAATGCTCTTTTCAATGATGTATTATTATAGACAGTTTGTTCAAATGTAATTGCAAGTATGAGCAATTATTGATGAGCGTGTCAAGATTTCAAAAAATTTCCAGAGTCAAATATTTTCTTCTGGATCTTTTGGATTTGTTTCCTCCTCGAAATTATCAAATGTAACTGATGTTAGAGTTGTTTCTGAATAATCACTCTATCGATTTCTATAGTCAAAATCCAGAAAAATACAAAAATAGAAATTTACAATTTTTTTTACTTTTTTCTAAGGGATTTTGGATTTTTATTTGCAAATCTTCAAACCAGAATATCTCGGTAACCAAAAGCGGTACTGGGACAAAATTTTCAGAGATTGTAGCTCTTGATAAGGGCTTCAAAATGGTATTCAGTTAAAATCCCTAGCGATTACGGTTTTTGAGCAAATCGAATTTAAAGTCTGTTGAAGTTTCAATGTAAGTAGCGACATTTAGCAATGGCAAATATAACTTGTATTTTGAGTTGGTAATTGGTTTTTAGTTTTTTAACTTAGCAGCAGTGATGCCAGGTCTGGTGAAATTTTACCAGATCTGGTGATTTTATGAAAAATCTGGTGATTGGTGAAAAACTTTTTGAAAAATTTTATATTTTGTATTTGTTCTTTTGATATATTTATATATATTTCCCTTTTTATATTTCAATTTCTGTTTATTCCAGGCGCTTGTTGCTATTGGCCGGTTATTTTACAAGTTGGCAACATGTATTTTGTTTGGCCAGTAGCGTTGCTCATTTCAGTCAAACCAATCGAAAACTCGAAATTTTTATTTTTCATGTTTTCGAAATTTTGACTTTTCCAATTGATTCAGCAGGTGTAAATTAATCGAAAAAAATGCTAACATTACTTTCAAAATGGCGATTTCAAAAAGCTAAAAATTCTCAATTTTCGTTCTAGAAATGTTTTCAAAGTCAGGAATAATGGCCAATATCTTCAAAGAAATTTGAACAAATCAAAACAAATTATATATGGTTAGAAAGAGCTCTATAAATCCATGCTAAATTGGTTCTGATAACTCAAATACTTTCTAAGCAAAGTAAACTTTTATTCCAAATTTTATCAAAAATTTCAAACTCGATTTTCTCGAAAACCATAAGAGCTAGCGATTTTAACTAAATACCATTTTAAAGCCGTTGTCAAGAGTTACATTTCCTGCAAATTTTAATTCAAAATCTTTAATAGATTTTGAGATATCCAAGATCAAAGATTTTGAAATAAAAATCTAAAGGGGTAATCCTTTGAAAAATTCGAAATTTTTATTGTTCATATTTATTGAATTTTGACTTCTCCAATCGATAGAGCGGGCCTAAATTAGCCGAAAAAAACTCTAATATCATTACAAAATCTTGATTTCAACAAAGAGAATAATTTTAAAAAAAAATCTCAATTTTTAGGTTTAATTTTTTTTTGAATCCTGACAAGGTCAGGAGCAATTGCCAATACTTCTATTAAATTTTGAGCAAATCAAAATAAATTATATATGGTTGAAAAGAGCATCAAATTCTCTACAAATCTTGCTAGATTGAGTTTGATAACTTAAATACTTTTAGAGCAATTGAGCCTCAAAGTTGGATTTTAGTTGAAATTTAGTCAAAAACTTCAAATTCGATTTTCTCAAAAACCGTAAATTCCAGCGACTTCAACTAAGTACCATTTTAAAGCCCTCATCAAGAGCGACAATCTCAAAAAAAATTGATCCAAAATTTTTGACGGGTTTTGAGAAAATTGAGTTTGAAAATTTTGAAATTAAAATTCTAAGGGGTTTTTATCCCTTTGAAAAAATCGAAATTTTTATTTTTCAGATTTTTAAAATTTTTATTTTTCCAATCGATAGAGCGGATCTGAATTAGTCGAAAAAAACTCTAACATCATTACAAAATCTTGATTTCAATACAGAGAAAAATTAAAAAGAAAATCTCAATTTTTAAGTTTAAATTTTTTTTGAATCCCATTAAAGTTAGGAACAATTGCCAATACCTCCATTTAAATTTGCGCAAATCAAAATAAATTATATATAGTTGGCAAGAGCATCAAATTCTCTATAAATCAGTGCTAGATTGAGTTGGATAACATGAATACTTTTAGAGCAATTGAGCCTCAAAGTTGGATTTTAGTTAAAATTTAGTCAAAAACT